CCTGAGACAATAGCCTTTTATTCCACGACCCAATTCTTTGGCGTATTTTATCCTCAATATATGCAAAAGCTGCCTTTTTATTTCTACCCACAAACGAAGGTAGACCCAAATACTTGCCAAAGTTTGGTGTTGCTCCACCCCCAAAACTTGGGCCACACTTTCCCTATCCACATTACTCGTATTCCTGCTATAACAAATACTCGACTTGTGGTAGTTAACCACCTGTCCCGATAGATCCTCATATACAGTCAGGCATTTCTTTATCTCATTAGCCTCTTCCACATTAGCCTTAAAGAATAAAAGGCTATCGTCTGCAAAAAACAAATGAGAAATCTGAGGGGCACCTCTTGCTACCCTACATCCATGAATTAATCCCGCTCTGTTAGCCTGTTGTAGTAACAACGAGAGTCCCTCTGCACAGATAATAAACAAATATGGGGATAGCGGGTCTCCCTGTCTCAAACCACGCGTGGGTATTATTGGGTCACTCCTTGAGCCATTTATCAGAATACTATAGGAGACTGTGGTCACACATTTCATAATCAAATCAACCCATCTATCATGGAAACCCAATGCCATCATCATATTACGGAGAAAAGGCCACTCCATTCGATCATACGCCTTAGCCATATCCAGCTTAAGTGCACCCCAGCCCCTCAATCCACACTGTTTTCGATTCAGAAAGTGCCCCACTTCTGCAGCTAATAGAATATTATCTGTTATCAATCTATCTGGGATAAAATCACTCTGTGTCTCAGATATTATTCCTTCCATCAAAGGCTTCATTCTATTAGCCATCATTTTAGCTATTATTCTGTAAATGACATTGCTAAGTGCTATAGGGCGCAAATCAGTTACTAACTCTGGATTACTCTTTTTAGGGATCAACACAATATCTGTCTCATTCAAGCCAGACGGGAGGTCACCTGATTCAAGACAGTTTAGCACAAAACTCGCAACATCCCCTCCTACCACATCCCAGAAATGCTGATAAAAACCCGGATTCATTCCATCCGGTCCTGGTGCTTTATCCGGATACATTGCAAACAATGCATCCTTTACTTCCTCCAGATTAAATGGCCGTAATAGTGAGTCATTCTGCGCCTGTGATACCCTGGGTTCTATCCCCCCAAAAAAATCATCTCCAGTTCCCGGACCCCCAGAGCTGAAAATATTCTTAAAATAGTCCAGAATGATATCTCTCATGGGATCCCCCTCCAACCAATCCCCATTGTCATTCATTAATCTAAGTAAAGTATTCTTTTTCTTTCGGTGAGAGGCATACCTGTGAAAGAATTTGGTATTGGCGTCAGCTTCCTTGAGCCAGTGCTGCTTGGCCCTCTGCCTCCAGTATGCATCCTCCTGGGCCTCAGTGCGACTCAGAAGTTGCTCTATTCGCTGAAACTCGACAAGAGAGGCCGAGTCAGTGCATCCTCTCAAACGTTGTTGATCCTGTTTCAGCTGCACAATCTGTTTCCCATACTTATGGAACCGATCCCCACCCCATCGTGTTAACCGGTTTCCACAGTATTGAACACAACCCTGTAAACCCTGCCCTCTCCCTTCCTGCCACGCCTGCTCCACCACACCCCTACATCCCTCATCATATAACCATGCCATCTCAAACCTAAAACCCCTTCTTCTAACCCCATCCCTCCCTACCTCCTCCTGAACTGTGAAAAAAATGGCTGAATGATCTGACTTCCTGGTTCTCAAATTCATAACCTTTACATGGGGAATTATATTGCGCCACTCGTTCGTTACTAGGACCTTATCAAGTCTCTCCTCAATCCAGTTTGCAGTCCCTTTCCCCTTCTCCCAGGTATATGGGTATCCAATCATTGGTAACTGGGCCAATCCACAATCCTCAATCGTCTCCCCAAAACCTCGAAGAAGGCTATTCGGATGTGGATTTCCCCCTCTCTTCTCATACTGGTATAGCAAATCATTAAAATCCCCCACCACCACCCACGGGAGATTTGATTTTGCCGCCAACATTCTCAACAAATCCCATGATTCAGCACGCCTATTACGGTCCGAATAACCATACTAACACGTCATTCTCCAGGCCGGATGACCTGTCATAGTTACCTCAATATCAACGTAGTTTCTTGAGTAACTAAGGAGTCTCGCCGTATTATTCTTCTTCCACAATAATGCTAATCCACCACTCAAACCATCATTGTCAACATAAAATAAGCCTTCGAAACCAATCGTAACACGAAGACGCTCAGCATGATCTCGCGCTACCTTAGTTTCTATTAGAAATACAAAGTCGGGTTGCTTTTTGGACACCATGTCCACCACCTCTCGAACTGTCCGTGGATTACCCAAGCCACGGCAGTTCCAACTCAGCGTACTCATTGGGTTGGGCGGGTCTGTGATCCAGAACCCGCCGTAAACAAGTTTTTTGAGCCATCCACCATCGTCACATCTGTACCATCCCCTCCATTCTCACGGCGGCGCTTGGCCACTGCCACCACCACCTCTTCGGTCTCGGACCTCTCGGCCTCCTCAACCGGGCTACTCCGTACCACCGGTCGGCGGCTCGGATTCCCATGCATCGGAAAGTCTTTCGGCTTTCCACCGAGAGGAACCAACCAAGGGTCCCCTATCTCCCGTGGCCCTCGGTTTCCTCCCACTCGTAGTTCCGCAGAGTACGGATACTGTTCCACCGGTATTCTTGCTTCCCGAGCCTTTATACAAAACTTATAGGAGTGACCCAGCATACCACAACAGAAACAGAAAGTGTGCAGCCTCTCATACCTGAAGTTAACCCAACATGTTGTCCTATCCCTCTTCAGCAATTTCATCCTTCTCTTAATCGGTTTATCAACCGGTATAGACACCCGAATACGATAATACGTGATCCAAGGCTCCCCAATAAACCTCTCGTCCAGTTTGACAAAAGTTCCAATAAAATTCCCAACCTGCTCAAGAATCGGGATCCCCGTGTATCCCATCGGTAAATCATGCACTTGTACCCAGAGATCAATCGTATCCAGCACAACATCAATCGGCATCACACCATCCGGAACCCTCTTGCAAACTAACGAATGATTGTTAAACGACCACGGCCCCTCTTCCAGCACATACTCCACATCCGTCTCATGATAAAAAACAAAGAGGAACAGATTCGGTTGAATTTCCGAAACCTGAACCCCTCGTACTGGTTGCCAAACGGATGCCATGACTTGCCGCATATACTCTGCCTTAATGATTTTGTTCGTCAGAAAACGGCCCACAACGCCCCACGTCTGCTCCGTCACCGCCTGGCCACCGCCTTCGGCCATCCCTGCCGGCGCAAACACGGCATCCTCCTCCTCGTCTAGAACAATGTCCGCCCACCGTCGTGTCAGCGCCGCTACACCGTCCCCCTCCGTCGCTGCCATACGCACTTGCCCGCTGCGACTAGCGTCGCCAAACAGTGATGATCACCGGAAAAAACGTAGGAAACCATCGGAAACCTAGCAAACCCTAGGGGAGGAGAAAACTCTAGCAAACCCTAGAGAGAAATTTTCCTAAATGAATGAGTTTAATTTTTTCTTATATGTGGATTATTTAATTTAGAAGAATTTTAAATATGAATATTATTTGAAATTGAATGGAATCATGAACTTGGACGTGATGGTGTCCCGATATATATCTCATATTTAATTCAAATAATTAAATTAAATTTGAGAATTATCAAATGATGGAGTTTTGTTAGATTTTTCCTATACACTCACCCCTATAAATAGTTGTTTCATTTTAGAAGAAAGGGGACTTTGAAAATCTGCATATCGAAACTCTACTAGAACCTCACCAGGCTTCTAAGACACGTTTATACATGGAGAATGTTCTAGTCCCAATTTTACAGGAGTGCTTCTTACAGGACGTTTGGTTGGGAGGAGGTAATTAGGAAATTAAGAAAAAAATTGTAATTCGGTGGGAATAAAGTAGGAATCCAAATTATATTGCTTAGTAGGGAGAAATAAAATTATTTGAAATGAGAATGGAAGGAATGATATAAAAACTAAAATGTCATTATGTAATAATAATAATAATAATAGTAATAATAATAATAATAATAATAATAATAATAATAATAATAATAATAATAATAATAATAATAATAATAATAATAATGGGTAATTTGGTCATTTTATGTTTTTCCTTTTTCAAGATGGAACCGAATTAGAATTCTCACGGGGAATGTATAAATTGTAATTTTCAAATGGAGGAAATTACAATTCCCTTCAACCAAACACTATAATTTAAAATGCCAATAAATTATGTTGTAAACGAATTACAACTATATCCAACCAAACAGTATGTTAGTTCTTACTACCTAATTTGGATTTCTGACTCTTTTCAAGAAAATTCATAGTCACTATCCGATGGAGTGCACTAGAAAAAAATCATTTTGTGATCTTAATTCGTAAAGGACCACAAAAAAGTAAATCAACATTGGTTCAAATTAAAAAGGCCATCCAATATGCATAGGCTGCTTCCACGAGAAGTCGAACTTGTAACCTTATGGTTACCAAGTCATGGCCAACTTGGTTACGATAGCCCAGAATCTCTAATTCTTTTTGCCATGGAAAGTGAATTTTTAAACTTTCTCTATAAGAATAGTTGCTGTATTAGAGGATATAACAACACGAATCATGGAAATGTTAGGGAAAAGGTAAAAAACAAGAATGAAAATATTCTGTCATGCCTCCATAGTTTGTAGAATAAAGGTAATAGGAGGGAGTTGTGTACTTTAGCCTTTAGAGCTTCAAAAAAAAATTATGGCATACTAAAGTGAGACAGTAGGATCCTGCTAAACTCTTGCTCTAATAATACAGCTTTTGTGTTTTGGACAGGAAAGGATACACAATTCTGATTAATACATGGAAGAGAAATGATCTTCTTATGCAATCTATTTCCCACTATTCCTCATGCCCAGGGCTTCATTCCATACATATAGTGTGGAGTGAGCCTGATCCTCCCTCACTTTCACTTGTTCACTATCTCAAGAACGTTATCCGGTTAAGACATGGTCGGGAAATCGAGCTAAAATTCGACATCAATTCTGAAGACAGTTTGAATAACAGGTTCAAGGAGCTTACAGATTCGAAAACAGATGCTGTCTTTTCGATTGATGATGATGTCATATTCCCGTGTTCTTCAGTAGAGTTTGCCTTCACCATCTGGCGTAGTGCACCCGATACAATGGTGGGATTTGTGCCCCGCGTCCACTGGATTGATCACTCGGTATGTCCTGTTCTGTTAAAGCGAAATTGTCCCGACTGTCCATTCTAACGAGGAAGCTCGTATATATGCAGAAAGGCAATGCAGATAAGTATATCTATGGAGGGTGGTGGTCAGTGTGGTGGATGGGAACCTACACTATGGTTCTTTCCAAAGCTGCATTTTTTCACAGAAAGTATCTTAGCATGTATACTTATCAAATGCCAGCATCCATTCGAGAATACGTAACTAAAAACAGGTCCCCATCCCTTTTTTTCTTGTTCTTTTCAGTACTTATGATAGTTTTTCAAAATAAGCTCTTATTTTAAGCTACTAGCTTATTATGGGAACATTACCAAATAGAGCTTATAACTTATTAGTAGCTTAAAATAAACTATAAGCTCTACCAAAAAGAGCCATAGTAAATCTGAAATCTTAATTTACCTTGGTGAACCAAGCAGGAACTGTGAAGACATTGCCATGTCCTTCCTCGTGGCAAATGCGACCAATTCTCCTCCTATCTGGGTACAAGGTAATGAGCTTCAATCTTTCATATCCATCCCTCTCTCTTTAATAACACCAATCCTACAGGTAAAATATTCGAAATTGGTTCAACTGGGATTAGTAGCTTGGGAGGTCACAGCGAAAGGAGGACTCGTTGTGTCAATAGATTTGTAACCGAGTATGGGAGAATGCCATTGGTTTCCACTTCTGTCAAGGCTGTTGATAGCCGCAGCATCTGGTTTTGGTGAGTTAACCAAAGGCTTTGGGTATAGAGCAGTCTTAAATCTCCAGGCCAGCTGTCCCACCCAAAAGAGTTAGTCTTAAGTTACATAGCTCGTATTTGTCACATATGTATAGGAAAGTTTACAGTTTCACCATCAAGTGTTCATATGTGTCCTATAGCTTTATTGATTCAGGAAACCATTGTGTAGTGTTTTTCCAAAATGCAACATTTCAGACTGAACAGAGTGTATTCATATCTATATCCAAAGATTTGGAAAGTTAATGTACAATGAATACTGTTTAATAACAGTAGTTTTCATGGAGGTTTGTCCAACATACACTTTAAAAATGTTGAACATGTTTTCTTGCACCCCGAGATTTTCCACGAGTATGATCACCTCTTCAAGTGTTACAGATTCCAAATAACTTCTTGTTGCCGATATTCAGAAGCTCGTTTACATGAAATCACGACAGGTTCAATAGAAACTCGCAGAGATTAGTTCAAGGGGAAACATGTGTCTTCACCACCTGTACTCCACAAGAAACTGGCATATTGAGAAGTATAATAGAGATTCTCTTTCTCAGCAGCCGCGATGGCCTGCAGATATACATCTTCTGCTCCCGTCAAGTCCTTCCTAACCTTCCACAAGAAACGGGCGTACTGGCTGAGCACCTCTGCATCTAATTCTAGCGGTTCCACTTGGATGGCACGTTTGAAACATTCCTCCGCCCTGTAACGTAAACTTTCAGACATGGTACACAAGTTTTCGGTTTGTTCACACACAGATATTAGACCAATTGAAGGGTAATGTTAAGACAACTTAGATAAACCATTTTGTCAATGTCACTTATCTAAACCTTTGACCTTTCAGAGAAAATCGAGCATACATAGGACAAGATCTTTCGTTGAAATTTCCATAATATTGTAGGCTGATCCATGGTAATTCTCGAGGTAAACATCATAAAAAATAACCCAACAAATAAATGAAACCTTAAGATATAGAATTTGCTCATACGAATTAGCCTACCCCACACCGAATTGGTATCAGAGCCATAAAGAGATAAGTGAATATACACATTATAGCAGTTGCAGACAACACAAGTGATTACTATGTTAGTTCATGCTAAAAGATCTAAGTACTAAATAATTCAATGAAATTGAAGAGTATCTAAAGTTTTGAAGTTACCTATCATAATCGCGTATAATAAGCTGCAGAAACTGGGCGTAGTTGCAGAGCAGAAGTGGATTGTGAGGATCCTGGGACAACATTATCTGATACATAAAATCTGTTCTATAGTAAGCTGTAGGGTCATGATCTGGTCCAAACTCCAGAGACAAGGGCGAAACGAATTCATGATTGAGCCCAACATCCTCGAGAGCTCCCATATTTGTTGTCTCTGATTCACTCAGTTCTTGATCCTGTGAGAGCTCCTCAGGAGCTCCATTAGGATTTTGGATGAACAATGGTGGACCGCTAAGTCCCGGAAATGGTTTCATCGTCTCATAATCAGAGACAGAATACACACTGAAATTGGCTAAAAGGGTCATAACATGAATCATCAATTCAGGCGTTCGGGAAAACACTTGCTGGAACATCCAGGCGAACGATAAGTGCATTTCGCGTTGCACTTTGGAGACAATTAACTCCAATTCTTCATCACACAGTGCTTCTCTCATCTGCAGAGCTTTGCTCTGAAGCTCCACAATGATGAACACCATTGAAGAGAAGGCCTTTCTCACTGAACAACAACTCATCTCTTCCAAACCCCTAACACCCACTTCCCATTGCTGCTTCTTCTTTATCATTCTCAAGGACAAAGGAAGCTCAAAACTCTTGGCTCTGTGTTCAACACTTGCCCACAAAAGTGCCTCCCTTTCAGGCCAATTTGGAGGCTCTGGCACAATCCCAAGCATGCCAGGCTCCAAGAAATCAAACTGTGATGGAAAGTTTGAACCTTTCACACTCTTCTCAGATATTGTGCAACACCCTTCACTGTCTAGACTCAATCCATCCCTAAATTCAAAGGGTTCTTCACCCAAACCCCCATCAAGAATTGCCCTACAAGACACCCTTAAATGGCCTCTATTTGAAAATTTATCAAAGTTCTGCACCCTCAAAAGCTTTCTTGAACTGACAGGACTGAGAAAAACACCCTCAAATGCAACCTTTTGATTCATTCCACCACTACAGTGTCTCCCATGCCACAAAGAGGCTGCAAAAGAAGCAGAAGCTTGAGGCATAACATGGAAAGGAGACTGAAGAGAGGGTAAGGCAATTCTAAGCTCCATATTGCTTAAAAGATCATAAAGAAATAGAACACAGGGGATTATATAAAGAAGAAGAGAGAAAACTGATGGCTTCTGAGTAAAATATCTGATGAGCAGATTGGAATAGAACAGTCAAAGAAGAAAAGGCAGAAAACTTAAAGCCCGTGTATAAAGGCCAAATCTTTATGAGGTAGAGTGGACTTGTGTGGCTCTCTAATCTCAGCAGATCTTGAAAATGGAGGTGATTGGGTGGACTTATTGGGTGCCTTTGAGGTTAAACCAAACCTTGTGAAATACAGATGAGATTAAAAGCAACCCAATTTTTTAAACACTTTTTTTTCTCCTTTCCATGATGCAAGATTTCAACGTGTAAGATCCCCATTCACACTCTCTATTCCAGAAAAGCAGATCCCACAGCTTTCTAGAACAAGTAAAAAAAAAAAAACAATACAAAAAAGAATGCATTCCCCATTTCCCCCATTTCATAACACTTGTTAAAAAAACAAGAAACCCATCACTCTATAGAAGTGATCAATCATGCAAGCTACCAAAGACTGTGTCTTGAGGCCAAAAAACAGTTTTTTGAATCAAATTCCGAGTAAAAAGAATGTAAAGATTTGGGGTTTTCGTAAAAGGGAGTTGGCAAAAGAGATGAGATGGTATGGCAAAATGCAAAAAGGGGGTCACACGTGGAAGTTAGTTATGCGCTACATGTGAGCGTGGCCACACTGTAGAGAGAAATAGAGAATGGGATGACAAGAAGTCGCTGTGGTGAAAGTAGGGAATTTGTTTACGCCTCCATGGCACATGTGATCCGACTTCGCCTATGGTTTTGGGCCACACGGATTTTGTCTATGGAAAAGGAAAGGCAAAAGTGACAAGTAAATAGGCAATGTTTGGGCCATAATATATTGGGCTTCTTCTATAATAGGAAGGTTTGGTACACAATATTCTAAATATTTATTCATTCGTTTTAATTATTGGGTAAGAATAAGACTTTACATTTGGTAAAGATTTTGTAATCCATAAGATATTTTAACATATTTAAATCAAAGTTCTAAAATAGGAGTCATAATCCAATTGATATTGACTAATTCTTTTGATGGGGTGTGGACCTAATGGGCTTAGGGCTTAAGGGAAAAAGAAGAGATGGACTGAATATTGGGCCTACAGAAGTAAGCCCTTAAGAGGGAATGAAGAGAACCAGCGTCATGGGCCATGGGCAAGCCCAGAGAAGGACGCGGCCAGCGAGGAGTCGAGTCCAAGGAGTCGGTGCAGGCAGACAATCGACACGGATAGGGATCGGCCCAGCTGGTGACCGTTGCCATTAAAGGGCCGCCTTTCATGCACGGTCAACCGGGTCATTGGGGAGGCCTAGTAACGGCAACCCAACGGCCCTTAGTCTTAATAGGTTCCATTATGTCACTTTAATATTCATATTTAATTTAACAAAGGGTGACCACCTATAAATAGGGCCCCTAAGAGAATATAAAGGCAAGTTTTGGCCGGTAGAGAGTCGCTAGAGAGTACAAGTAAAATACAAAGAAAATTGATAAGTCATTTCCTCCTTTCTAGTAGCTCTATTTTAAACGATGAACCCACCAAATACGGTTGTGTTGGACCTGATTGGGCCCAAAAATCCTGAAACCAACACCCTTAGCATTGTGCACGGTTTAGAGATTATGACTAATTGTTCAAGAAAATGAATTGTTTTGGCTGGGCTTGAAATAAAAAGATTGTTTTGTTCTTACTTTTCACGGCGCAGACTGCATATGTTAGGGAAGGAATACAGTAGGTCGAAATTCGAAACTCGAAGGACCACAAGCGATCAATTTGAAAGTTTAACACTAAACGTGATGAAGCTATCAAACTCGGAAGACCTTAGATGGGATTAACTCGAACTAAAATATAGAATAACTTTCTTGGTGGAGTAATGCTTTGTGTGGAATAAAGACATAAATAATTAATTCTAAATTTCTAATTATACAATTTTATAAAATAAATTAAAAAAAAATGAAATTGCATAAGTTTTCGCATATAGTTTGTACTATCCTCCAATTTTGGTTCCGTAATTACGGACTAAACCGGCGGCCATGTTCGTGGCTCCGGTGCACCGCCAAGAACGTCTTCGCCGCATCCAAGCTCGGAAAATATGTCGGCTCAAGGAACACCTGAGCCAACGAATCGTCGGAATCTCCGGCTTCCAAGCTCCCCATAACCACCGTCAAAAGCTGCTTATACGAATAGTAAAATCTCTTCACGCCCATTTCAATTGCCTGCAAGCCTTGAACCAAATGGATCCTCTCGAAACCGTCCTTCTCCGCGTACAGCTTCATCGCCGCCTCCTGAACCCTTGGGCCGCCGTTGGGATCGACTTCGACGTCCAGAATACCGGGGACTTTCTGCCTCAGATCCTTGGAGAGCTTCGTGATTTCCACCAGTCCTCTCGATCGGAAGCAGAACGGTTGCGATTCGGCGGTTACTTTGATCGATAGCTGGTGCTTTAGCCGGAGGAAGTCGTCGGGATCCATTAACAGGTGGAGGTTTTCGATTTCGGTTAACAGATTCCAGGTTTTCTCCAGGATCCAGCAATCGCTTACGGCGTTTCCGAAGGATTTTGATTCGATTCTCTCCGCGATTCGGTTCAGGATTGATTTGGACGCGCAGATCCACGTTTCGAGGATCTGGTGAGTAGTGTAGAGAGTTTGATTCTCGAAATTTTGCAGATTCATGCTCTCGGCGGGGGATTTCTTCAGGGAATGAAGCTCCGAGGGCTTAACAATGGCGTCGTAGTCGAGACTAGGTTTACCGTTGAGGTTCGCCTCGCCTAACCCTAGCGTGTACGGACACTTGCGCATCTCGCTCTCTATGAATCCGAGGATATTCTCAGCGATATCCTCCGATTTCCGCCACGTTACCAGGCGGGGCAACAAGCTGGCCTCGCTCGTTCGGCTCACCACCGTGACCTCGTCGGAGAGCTTCCACACCTCCGCCGAGCTGTTCCGCCGAGCCAGCGTGCCGTCTGATGACGTCAGATCAACGATTGGTGCCGCGCCACGTGTCTCTCCGTCCTCCGCTTCTTCGTCCTCGCATAACATAGCGATGATTTCGACCTGACTCCTCGCCAGGGACTCCAACCTCCGCTTCCATTCTCGCCGGTTCGCGTACGGCCTCGGATCCGACAAGGCGCCGGAGATAAACCGGAAAGTTATTTCCAAGCCTTGCAAAGCTGGCTTGAGCAGCGGCTCCTGCTTCCACCCCGAAAACTCCTTACAACCCCACAGCTCCTTCAGCTCCGGCAGCCTAACGTAGTGCTCGTAAGCCAAACAAGCCGCCTCCGCCACCTCCGCCGCCTCCGCAACCCGACCAGACGCCACCGGAACTGAAACATGAAGCTTATTTGAAGGCCTAGGCGATTTACTCGGCAATTCAGCCTTCACTTTCCGATCAAAAGCCGTCATCTTTCATACAAAAACAACCCAAATTACACACAAATATCTGTAATTCAAGAAAATTATAAACCCAGTTCGGATAAGAGAGGCGGAGAAAGAATTTGTATATATAGAAGAGGAAGGCGTGGGGGAAGGGGGAAGTTGAACGATGAAGAAATTCAAAGGCGTGGGCGGCGACGACTTGGAGGGAGGGAGAAAAAGGTAAAATTAATTTATTTTTTATTTTATAAATAAATAATCTTATCCAGTTTGAGTTAAATATCCGCACATGAGGTGCCAAACACACCAGTCGAAATCGGGTGAAATTCCGAATTTGGACTGTGGTCGTGCCAGCCATGCTTTCTTGTCAACTAAAGCCGGCATGACTCCATACAACGACCCATTTTAATACATTGGATGTATTTTTATTTTTAAAAAAATTATTGTACTAACGTAATAAAACTCCATTTAATTAAGAGTAAATACCCAAAATGGTCCTTCGACTATAGCTAAATTTACAAATTAGTCCTCAACTTTCAATTTCACCCAATTAAGTCTTTAACTTTGTAGTTTTAACACAATTTGGTCCTCTATCTATTTGACCATTTGTTGATTGTGATTTTTTAGGATATATATGTAATTTCATGATTCATCGTCGGTTTTTTAAGGTTCCGGTTGTATTTTCAGACCGCACTGTTACATTTGAATCCACTGTCGAAAGCAATCTACTAAACCCAGTCACCTTCTTCATCTTCCCTTTGGATTCAATGTAGTTGAATTCGTACCAGAGCGAAGAAGACAACGTGTTTCCGAATCGGTGCAACGTCATCCTGGAGGCCTCCACGTGCTCCGACGAGAGCTAAAGGTTCTTCTGGAGATCGTCGATCACGGTCAACAAACGGTCAATTAAATGGAGGACCAAATCGTGTCAAAATTGCAAAGTTAAGGACTTAATTGGATAAAATTGAAAGTTGAAGACCAATTTGTGAATTTAGCTATAGTCGAGGGACCATTTTGGGTATTTACTCTTTAATTAAGATTACACATTGAAACTAATTCTCTTCTTATCAAATACAACTTCGGGAACCACTTTCTCATGAGTTTTAAATTAGTTGCATTTGTAAAGCTCAAATCCGAGATAAGTTGAAAGATCAACTTGGATCATCTCATATAATTAAAAACTTAAAAATGAAATTATTTTCTCACTCTATAAATTTCAGTATTACTTATGAGACGCGGATGAAATGACACAATTTTCTTCCAACGTAACCCCTGATGCAATGCTTTGTCACTTTTATAGTTTTACCTAATACGAACATGATTTGTCTCATTTTGGGTAGCTACTGGCTAGTCGAGAAAATCTATGTCTCATTTTGGGTGGCTACTGATTAATCGAGAAAACTTATGACTAAATCATCAGGATTTGATCATGTCAGCATCTATTTAGAATGATAACAGAAATACCACCACACTAAATAATAGTTGGCAAGGGATAACTAAATATTAAATTTAAAAATAGCATTATAATGAGGAATAAATGTGGAATAAACTCTAATATTGGCCATTCCCTATTGACATTTTCTGGGAAATGAATCAATTTTTTAATCTTAATTCGTTGAAACTTAAAGCGCGGCAGCATATGCCATGCATCTTCCAAGAGAAACTGATCTTTTACCTATCAAATTCCAGTTTTTTTATACTTATTTATTCGGTTTCGTTATAGATTAGATTAAGTAGAGTAGGCATATTCCCTCAAAATAATAATTTGTCGTTAATGGCGTCTTATGAGTTGGCAACCCTCACTTTCCATTTGACCATTGTACACCTAACGTGTATCCCATTAACATTTTGATAAAAACATACAACTCGAGTTTGAGTTTTCATAGGTTATTCAAAGGTAACTTAAAAGATGTCATTTTTTTTTTTTAGATAACAATAAAATAAATAAAAAAAAAAAATTTACGTTCATTATTTAAAGATGTGCACAAAATAAATTCTATTTTATACTTTAATCAACAAAGAATTACAAAAGATTGTCCATAATTATTTGGAGTTAAACTTAGAACCTTGTACTATTATAATTGTCAAACCAACAACCTAACTTAACTAGAATTGTCTCCAAACGGCAAAAGAAATGACTAAATAGAGCATACAACAAAGTTTATTTGCTGATTATAAAAAAGTGTTTGGAAAAATGACTTTCTCAAACAAAAAAAAAAAACATTTTTGAACAACTTCATAAATTTTAACATTTTAGAGCAATAAACTGTTACAAAAAGCTAATTAATCAAACACACATATTGATTATTTAATCTAGTCAAACAGCTAATGTTGATCAAATAAGTCAAAATTGACCGATAAGCTAACTACCAAAGTAATATTGGTCATTAGAAAAGAAAAGGAGAAGTTGACACAAGAAAAATCACTCTATAATTGAAGTTTGGAGTATGAGAACATAAAATTTCAAAAACTCGGGTCAAAGGAGTAAACAATGGCTGTCTTTGGTAAAACATCAACATAGAAAACATTCAAAAACCATGAAAGCAACATAGCCAACATCATAGGAATCAATCAAACAAGCTGAAGCCCAAGTCGTCGTCGGACTCTTCTGCCGGCTCCTCTTTTTTCTCCTCTACAGCAGCAGCAGGAGCAGCGCTTCCACCTTCAGCAGCAACAGCAGCTGGAACTGCTGCAACGGCAAACTTGCTCGGGTCCTGCAGTGTTTCAACACAATTAATCGCACCCAAGAGGCCAAGAGAGTATCGAAAAATAAATTGTAGTATCAAAAGTAACAAACCTCGAGATACTCTTTCACTTTATCAGCCAGCGGAAACGAATACTCGGTTTCAACAGCAATAGCCAGGGCATTCTTGTAGCCGTTTATGAGCATATGTGGGGCGGCTGCAAGAGTGGGGTATGATATAGCAAGCGACAGTGAAGTAACCATGGATACACCCATGGCAAACTTCCCAATAAGGTCATCTTCGGTCAGATCAAGAACCTCGGGACTGAAGACGGTTCCATTATCGTAAACCGATAGGACCACAAGACCATAGGAAAACGGCCTAATGCCCAGCTTTGCTAGGAGAGCAGCTTCACTAGAACCCACCTTATCCCCCTTCTTGATAAGCTCAACCGGGGTTATGATCTCAACAGTTCCCTTGTTAATCTTTGTAGGAATGTTGAGCACCTGGAAGAAAGAGGTCTGAGATGGGTCGAGACCCGTGTTTCCAGGTGGGACAACAACATCAATTGGAGCTATAAGACCAACACGAGCAGGGGCCCCAACCTGTTCACAATATTAACATGAGAACCTCTAGTGCTAATCGTTACTAAAGTGTTTAAATAGAGCAAATTTACCAAATTATAACATTTTCAGAAAACATGAAAATCTGAAAAAAAAGGAACATTCCTTACAAAGATTAACAATGAAAATGTGAAAAAAGGAACATTGGATTACTAGATGGCCCATACATCAAAAAATGACATTCGATTCTTCTGAATTTCAATTTAGGGTTCTAAACAAACGAGACTATTCAAAATTTGATTACAGGAGATGTAAAAAGAAGCTATAAAAACCCCATTGCATATCACGTTTAATCAATGAACTTACACACTCCCTTTCACAATGCAATAATGTTTGAGCAGGTTATAATTGCATTTTATATTAAAATTCCAATAGAGATAAGACCAACTGAAATGCAAGGCCTATATATACTGCAAAAGCAATTAGCCACAAAGAAAATGCTACTAATCAAGCAGATAATAACACAAAGAAAACCACATATAATCATTCAACATTAGAAAATCATATCATCTACAGCACTTTAAGTAATGATATGTATGAACTTCAACCAACATTCATCTTACCTTGTATTTTGCAACCTCTTCACTAACTTCCTTCAAATCACCCTTGGTGAATATCAATCCAACATTGCCCTATATATAAACACAGCCAGAGATTAAAGATTCAACCATTACTCTTTCTCATGGACAAATTACAGTACAGGCATAATCTCATTACAGTATATACTTACCACCAAGAGAGGGATGATATTGAGAATGGCAGTGTTCCCAGAATTCTCAGCATGAACACGAATGCTTCTCTTAATCATAGTGTTTTTACCCATCAACACAACCGAGTCACCCCTCAACCCTTTTCTGATGTTCTGAAGCTGATTGCTTCCTACATTGTCGGCCACCGCAATCAAGATTTGCGTGTACTCGTCCAGAAGCTGGCAGAGCTTCTGGTCGTACGCAATCTTCTTCTCAGCCTTGGTTTGTTTCACCGCCATTGAAGGATCTAAGGTAGGTTAACTCTTCAACTACGACTTTACAGGAAAAAAGTTAAGAAATTGGGGCAAAATTTAGGGCCAAGACAGTGGCTTTAGAAGCTCCGTCAAGGCGGACAGCGGCGGCGCCGTCACTTTAACCTATAGATTAAGATTAAAGGGGAAAAGGAGAAGCAAAAATGCCCTAGACTGAGATGAAACTGTGCACTGTAGAAAATGAAGTAGGTTTTAGGGCTTGTATATATACGGTATAAGATCGGAGAAGATGACGTAAACGACGGACAAGATTTATTCTTAACATAAATTAACGGTTGAGATATGGTGGGCCAGATTTCTTTGGGCTTAACTTTTATAGCCCAAATCTTCAAATCCACCACATTTTGGAGCTTTTTAGGTTGGGCTTAATTGTATCAAGAGATATAGGCCCGTTCTATATACTAAAGGATCGTTTGGTTGCATCCTTTAATAATTTGTAGTAAACATTACACTTTCGATCCTTAACTGATACCATCATGGATTATGCAAAAAATGGATCAAGGTCTACCTTACATTGTAGACCATGTTTTCAAAATAACTTTCAGATTTTATATCTATAATTGACATATTCTGTATCTGCAGTTGATAGTTTATGTACCTGTAGCTATTATATTATGTGTCAACAATTATTAAGTCAGATCATATATCTATAATTGACACATTATGTATCTGCAGTTGATAATTTCTGTATATATAGCTATCATATTATGTGTCAACAATTATCAAGTTATTTGTTTACATGCACAGAAACTATTAACTGTATGTACAAAATTTGTTAACTGAAGGTACAGAATTTTTGTATCAGGGTTCACAATGCAATATGAACTGTGATCGATGATATAACAATTGCATATATTACTATATTAGGGTTGATGGAATTAATTAACCCGGGACACTAAGGAGTGCTTTTATACTCCATGTCGCCCCAACAACCCCGGAGGACGCGGTGAAAGCTGTCTGGACCACATTCGCCGCTGAGAGACCCGATTAACATGAGGACCTAGTCCCTTGGCTGAGCCCGGAGCTCGGCCAAGTGGAGAGCACAAGGTGGCCGACCCCGAGGTAGTAGCCAGGATCCTTTGGAAGGCAAACCCCTTCAAAATTTGTTGCGTGCGTAGTCAAGTCAGGTTTCGAATCTGATTTGCTCCATATTACGCCGCCCCGGATCCCTGCTCCCTAATTATATTATTCCATCAAGGGTGATGGTATATAAAAGAACAATGGTAAATTTCCAGCCCAAGGGCTCCGACAAAAGCACAAACCGGAGCTGGAAAACACGGAAGAAGACAAACGGAAAAACATGTTCCAAAGCAAAGTATTCTTAACCCACATAATGACTGGGTTGAATGGATAATAAAAAGCCATAAAGATTTGTGTTTTACCGACCTCATCAGCTCCACAAGTTAATGATTCTCTAAAACAACCCTGATTATATGTAATTCATGTGTGATTTACGAGTTCATCAGCCATAAAATTCAATTCTTGTTAATTTTAGTTTAATTCTTGTTAATTTTTTCTCTCTAATTATATGTAATTCATGTGTGATTTACGAGTTATTACATATGAACATGATTTATCTATCTACGTTGGAGGTTTCTCAAATGAAGGGCTGACACATTTTCATATACATCGTCATTGAGTTTGATATGAACTTTGACTTGGAATGGGTGATTATTGTGGGGGTGATGAAAAGATTGATGGGAAGTGAATCTTGGAACGATCCATTAAATTAAAGCCTTGCAATCTCATTCATCTTCAAGATCCCCAGTAAGGAGACATTCATATCGCCCAGGATTGCGATCACCAGCCCGGCCTGCCGCCCGCCCGGACATTTTTCGACTTGATTGTTTTTATTTTGTATATAAAGATATTGTTGAGATGTGACATTTGAGCTTTCGTGAATATGGTTGATCAGTTAATGTTTAGTTTTATTACTTTCGGTGATTTTTCTTTTACCCAAAATGTACATACTGCAAGAGAATCTGAAATTATTTGGACAACTCGAGATTTACCTCCTCTATAAGTTTTAGAGACGAGTTCATAGACTTAGTAATCCAAATCTGTACCAGATAAAAGTAAGAAAGGTTTAAGCATGAGATTGAAAGTTCGAACCTTTATATATGCAATCACACTTCTAATTAGGAGAATGTACAAGACTCAACTAACCAAAGTACAGAATCCAACTAACACATACGTATATTGTATCATTGTAATGCAATTTATTACATAATCATAATGTGAAGTGTGAACAATGAAGATGTCAGCATGCATGCTAACTTCATCCACAAGTTACATTAGCCATGGGAGTAGCTAGCATGCATGATAAACTTTATTAGCTTCACCCCATATTCATTTCCCTATTGTCTTAGCTTTTACTGAATGTTATGTTAACCCGCAATTACTATCTAAGGATATATATTAAATAAACTTTATTTTTGTGTAACAGTTTACAAAATAAATAAATTACATTAGAAAAAGTTTATGCAACAAGCTCAACGAATTGAACTAAGAGGTCGTTGACAAGAATTAAATTTTTAATATGAAAATCATGTTCCACTCACTTGGTTATCCATTTCGGGTGCTAATAAAAGTTAATATGAAATATATGATTGGATGGTGTAGCATATATAGGGTTGCTTTGGATGATTTGAAAGAGCTTTAGTTATCTGTCAAAAGTGGTGACTGAATTGAAGGCTATTGCTTTTATTCTGTCATTTAGATGCAATTTGGGCAAATGATCTTTCAGATTTGGCTCTCAAATCAGATAAAAATGAGATATTATCTGTGGTTTTGATCTTGCAAAAAAATAGAGAAGAGAATAAAATTAAATATTCACCTTAATTGTTATATAATGCAACAATACAATTCTTTTTAAGAAAAATAAACACCTAATGATCACAAAAGGTAAGTCCACACAACCCTATCAAATTAAAGTTTGCGACCAGAAATCGACATTCACCGACCATCTCGAAGGTCTAAAAACTCATTAACGTAACTTCAAACTCTAAACGTTGAGCGAAAGAGACTATTCAATAATCAATACAATTCTAATTCTCAAAAGATATAAACCTAATGATACTGCTACTTTTGACTCACAAATCTCTTATTGTTGCAAATTGCAATGATGCAAACGAGAGCTAGAGTCTCGCCTTGACTTATCCCACATAATCTTCGTCATTGTCACTAGTGAATCACTCACCACCATAATAGATTGATATATAACCCTTGATCCAACTCAATTATCCACGAGTCAATTGATTTTGTTAGTTAAAAATAAATATAATTTGTATCAAATTTTTTAGTACTACTGACTCTATTATAATATAGTATCTGTTCATAACTACTTTCTTATGAGTTAAATCTGATGGTGAAAATATCATTTTAAGGTGGTGCATACCATGATGTCTAAGGCCATAAATGGATGTCGGCTCATCTTTATATTTCTTTTTATATGGCATTGTCATTATCCAATTGACAGACCCACTCGCCAACCTTGAGCCCAAGATGAGAACTTAATTCAGAAGGGACCCATAGGGAGCTGAGGTGGGTGTATAGAAAATGGTTAAACAAAGCCACCCTAACCTAAAACTCCTCATTATTACTTTAATCACATCTTTAATTCAATTATATTCTCGGTCTCGATTTTCAAAAAAAAAAAAAAAAAAATATTCTCGGTCTCGAGTTTGGAGTATTGTTGGTGCATCGCATTAAATAAGATCTCGAGTTTGAATATTTTAAAGTGATATAATAATTAATGTTATACACTTGTGACTCCTCCTATATTTTTTTTTTGATCCTTTATGAGATATAAGTTTATAATTGTAGTGAACGAACAATTAACTGGTTTTCAAAAAAAAAAAATTAACTTGTTAATCACATTGTTTCAAGTTCGACTTTCTGTCGAAATTGTCTATTAGCCTTATTAGTTTGAACCATTCAGCTATGGATAATTTAGACTAGTTTACCTCCTTGTTGTCCTTTGCCGGCATTCTGACAAAGATTACAAGGCGACTTTACCCATTGCACACTTTCGAGTAGTGATTGCAAATTTTTTCATAAATAAATTATCAAAAATAAAAATAGCTAGTTGTCAAAGAATTTATAATTTTATCCTTGTGTAGGTAAAAAAGTTTAAGGTAATTCTCCTATGCCTTAATTTCACTAGGGTTGGATGCCCAAAAGAAAGAGCAAACCTTATCTCTTCTTTAAGTCATTAATCAACTTTACAGCATTATCCCCCTTAATGATCAATTGCGTGATCCTCGGCCAATGATTAGCATTCTCATTACTTGTCAAACGCTTTTTACAGCCTCATTTGTCAAGGTATATGGTAATAAATAAATAATTAAGTAATATTGGTAATTAAAATTTTAGTCTAAATATATATTACATCAAGATGCTTTCAAAAAATATATTACATCAAGATAGGCAATGGAATATAATATTAAAATTTGACACTTTTATAGAGAATAGAGTTGAGCTATTAATCGAATTTGTGGGTACCTACTTGATGCATGCAAGGGGTGTGAGGTAGATAGAAAAGTCGTGCCATCAAAGATTCTATATGATATCTTGTGAGAAGAAAACACAAGTGTTTAGTAGTCTTATACTATTGTTGATTTGTTGGGACAATGAACAAGTGATTTTTTTATCTAAAAAATATTTTTTTAAATTAGAAAATTTGTTTATACTATTAATTTAATATTTTTAATATAACAAAAATTAATACATATTGTAATTGATGTGATATTATGTGACAGTGCAGGATGGGGACCATAAATTGGAAAATAAAACGAGGACAAGGAGTTGTACACTTATACCTATTCAACACACACACACACACTCTGATGAAGTTATGAATAACTACAGATTTAAGTGATAAACTAATATATGAATTTGATAGTTTAAATTAAGAATTCAATAAAAACTTTTATATTCTTTTGTAGGGACGGGGATGGGGAGCATACTTCCCACCCCATCCCAATGTGATCCCTATCTGATATGGTGTTGCAATTTTTTAATTTTTTTTTAAGTTATGAAATAACAATTATCCTTGTAAATAATAAATCTATATAGACTAATCTTATTACTAAAGGAATCAATCATGTCTTAAGATGCCGATCAACTAAATAAAATTCTCAAATTAAAGTAGATTCTTTGATAAGGAACAAGAGTAAATTATGAAATCTAATAAACTACAAG